GAAAACCAGTAAAAGCTGTCCGTTGTATTGAGAACTCTGATAAGGCTGAGAAAGATTTCCACTTATATATAAATTCCCTAATATAAATTCACTGCATTTTTTATGAAGACTTACCGAGACTGAAATTAAATTTGTTCGTGAATTCCCAAGTGTTTTTTTCCTCCTTTGGGCATGTACTATCACCTTTTAATGAAGTTAAAAATACCCATCATTGGATATACCTTAAGTAATCCATAGAATTACATAAATGAAAATGATTGCCGATTTTCATGCAGATGATGAAATTCAGTTCACCATTTTTCAGAGGGAAAATTTAATTTCCCGTTTTACCATACTTCCATAGATTTGAATAAATATTTTGTTTGTGTGTGTGGTTAGTTTTTTTAGTGAATTTGCTGTTATCTGCTGAGTTAAATTCGGCGTTTAAGACAATGCCAGTTCCATTTTGACTGCGTTTCGATTGGACATTCATATTTATATCATGGTTCCTGAGGTTTTCCCCTTGTCTATTTTTTCTACTCTGGTAATCAAAGACTTCTAGAAATCGTGCAGAGAACGTCAAAATAAATTGGCCAATCGAGTAAGAACCAATCAAGTTGAATTGAGTTTTTTTAATCGGGGCATCTGGACCAAAGATATGTGCTGCTTCAAGATTTTTTTTTTTCCTTATTTTTGACAAGATGGCCTGTATGCACTCCACTTCTCTTCTTTGAAATAGAGATATAATGGATTTTAAAAAAACCTATTAGGGGTTTGTCAGAACCTATAATATGCTGCCATTACAGGGTTCAAAAGCTGGAAGGCATAGGTAAAAAAAATGTGCCGGTTAAAAATGCATGGACTTACATGATCAATTTGTAGCATTAGACATATGCATCGCCACACATGTAATTTTTTTAAATTTATATGTGTATTTTTTTYCATTTTCATAAGAATACTGAAGGAAAAAAATATATGAAAACATCATCCGTCGTGGAAGAGTTCYGAATAAAAACGGAATTAAATGTGCATATTCTAACTGAAATGATACTTTATTTCCACTTCCATGGTTTGTTTTTATTATCAACGCTAAAAATTACACTATTTGTTACTAATATCGAAAATAAGGCATGTGGTACGCTGATTGGCTGGCTACCAGCTCGACTATATTGAGCAATGCTGAGCAGACCGCTATCGGGCCATACTCGATTAGTATTATACAATAAAGTGAAAACAGTCTGGATTATATACTATGCACTTGACTTTGGTTAAACCCAATCACGAAAGAACCTGGTTACTTTTGGTTGTTTGTTTGCCGCTTTTTCTTTTCACGAAGTATCAGCTGAAAGGCGTAATCATAAACCTTAAAGTCACCACATCCGTGTATAGAATGTATCCCACAACCTGCTTAATAAATATTAAAGACTTATTGTTGCTGAAATTGAGATGGCGCTTGAAAATTGAGAAGCTTAAGCTATCAAATATGTAATCCTTTAGTGGAATTACGATTTGGTTGCCATATTCAAAGATCCAAATATAGACGGTTACTATATCACAGTATGTACTTCTTTACAGTCGTATTTATTAACGATATGTTTACGAAAGCACTTTAAGCCATTGACATCAAGTAAGTAAAACTGCTAACAAGCCTTTTTGTGGTCACAGGCAAATCAATATAAGAAACATCGTAACGACAACGATCTTCTTCAACCAGGAGTCTTATGGAGAACTTAGCTGATTATATTCGGGAAGAACTTCAATGTCGAGACTGGAGGATATGCTCATCTTTGTCATGGCTTCCAAGGTTATGATAAACAACTGATTTGCAAAGTAGGTATAGACGAATAGARAAATTAGTTACATAGTATCGTCGGAAACCCAGGAGCTATTATGTCTGTAATTTATCCATATTTTTCTCAATGCTGAATGGGCTCTTGCTCTTGGGCCGAGAAATCATAAATGACAGATGATATATCTCCTGGGCTGCATCGCTGATATCATGACTGGGAAACTGTTAAACATGAAAAAGGCCGATTAATAGTCGCAAAATAGTGACATTTTTTCGTTTAATGTTTTTCAAATAAGAAAAGCTACCTTKTCGTGCAAATCAAATTTTCATCGATCACGAAATGAAAAAAAAAATGCACACTATTAGCTAAGAATTTTAATACAATCATGATTTCAACTATATCATTTTAATATTCATGATATTTTGATATTATGGTATTGTTGTTTATAAGTAATTATGTGTTTGTTCATTTGATGTTTTATAAGCATAAATGGTTATTATATATTGATAATCCGTCACCTTTCCTTTAGACTCGAAAAAATCGCGCGCTTTAAAGGTTGTAAATTTGATGTAAATATGATGTAAGTGTCCAAAATTCTGTAAATTTAATGGAAATCATTTACATCAAATTTACAGAATTTTGGACACTTACATCATATTTACATCAAATTTACAACCTTTAAAGCGCGCGATTTTTTCCAGTGATTGATCCCGCATTCTATCTTTCTTTTATCAATATCTAATTTGTTATCGGTTTGCATATGAAAGGCCGTGTTTTYACATGCTGCTGACAAAAAGAAACAAAGTCATTAGCAAGCTGTAGAGATATAATGCAATATGGATATAGATTTTATCAGCAGTCTTCCCTTTCATAAAAAWATCAGAATCAACTACTGGGAAAATTTCTTGAAGTAAAATTCACAACAAGGCCATAACATAGCTCAAACATCAACTTATAAAGTGATATTATATGCTGTAATAAGAAAACTAGCGCCTCTCTATACTGCACTCTTCACTAGACAAACTGATTTCATTCAATAATACTAGAGTTCTTCCCGTCGGCAACGTTGTTAATACAACCGACATTATGGGAAAAAATGTTTTATAATATAATTATCTATGAAATACTTCATACTTCTCCATTTCGTAAAAGTTGAAATGTTAATTATTTTCACTAGCGAAAATAACACATTCGTGGTTTTTCTGCTTAGTGAAAGTAAGAAAAAAGGCCTATTTTACGATAAAATTTGCTTTCATATTTAATCAAATGATAAACAGAATATTACATGGTTGCTTGGAGATACGAGTTTTATCTCTGCGCACCCATGTAATATATATCCTCTATATCTGTAATTTTTTGAAATAATACCAAACAATGTGCAAATTATAAGTTTTAATTTTAGTAATTTTATAGTTATCATAAAATGTTGCGGCGACGAGAACCTCGTCAGGGTTGCATCATGAATAGAGTGAAGCGAGACACATTTTAAACAAGTAAAAAAAATCAAACCATACAAAAGAATCTTATATGGCTTTTATTTATAATACAAACAAAGTGAATTTGGGAGAAAGCAGATGAGAATGTGAGACGGCCATTTTGAATATTCACCTTACGTTTCGCCCTCTCCTATTGGATAAAAAGTATATTGTATATTAACAATTAAAATAGATTTTTACACAGCCAATCAGAAGGCCAGTTTGATTACTAAAATTATCGGTCATTCAACCGACGTGTTATTCAACGATTACAGTAAATGAAGCGACCACTTTTGCGACTGGCGTCCTATTTGAATGTTTTATTGAAGATCAGATGGATTTCTTTAAGTTTTTGGTTTCAAATCCTGCGTAGGGAAGTTGAATTAGCAATCTTCAAGATTTAGGCTCTCTTTCACAAAGGCGCCTGGCATGAGATTTTCCGCTCTCTGAGGAGCTAAACAAGGTACAGTGTGGGTTAACAATTCAATAATTTGAAATACAAGATTTGAGCTCTTTGGATCTTCGGTGAAATTAAAGCCAGTCTGTCAGGTATAATTCAATATTATTCGATCCGCCTCACGGCAAACTCACTGGCTCTTAAAAGTCTACGAATCTCTGCTTTTATCAATGGAAATTTCCTCGTGGAAATTTCCTAGTAGTTTGTCTGTTTGTTTGYCTGATAACTGACAATACAAAACCATGCAGGTCAATTTATAAAGKGAAAGCATACCATAAGTCTCAGCAGTTTCCCCAAGATGAAACTGCGTTGACCTGTCTCAGTTATCTGACAACATACATCACTAACAATACGCGTGATGTTCTTATCATAGCAGACTATAGCGTACTCATCAAGGTAAGCATGTACAAAAAGGAACAAATCAGWCCTTAAATCTAAATCCTGAGGAAATACAACATCTAAACAAACAAAAAAATAACAGGATTTATAACCCATGGGATTGAGCAGAGTTAGTAGTTACTAACTCTGGATTGAGTTATCTAGCCGCCGCAAACGACCCCGAAAAAAAGGAGTCTTCCTTATTTTCTTTTTCCACAYCAACCGCAAGACTTTTTTTACTTTGTTTAATTTCCCGTGCTCCACTTTCAGTACTTATAGCTTTCAACTTCGAAGAAATCACAATTTGAAAAAGAAAGAGACCAAAATTTTACTTGATAGATTCGGTTTTGTGAACGCTCGATCGATATTTAGCTGCTACTTATATGATATAGTGACAGTCAGTACGAAGAACCCGATACGATTTTTATGTGATAAAAGTTCGTTGAAAAGAACGGAAGCATTCCTAAATGATAACCGGATGATTTTGTGTTTAAAATTCCTTTTATTTGCAGTTAAATGTTCATGTAAGCGAGACTAAAAAAAAAATCTGTCTCATCCTAGACAACATACGAATAGTGTTTCAAGGTGTGATTTATAACTAGTCACTACCTAYGCACTAAGGCGCGCGTGCACTAAACAAGTGCCTATATTCCCTAGAGTTAATAAGAATTAATCATATCTATGATCTTGCATGAAAAAGCTAATATATAAAGCCCGTCTATATTGTCAGTCTATTAAGTGTCTTAGTYAGTTTTTTGCACTGATTGAGCTTCGAAGATCGATTARAAAAAGCTTAATGCAGGGCGCGCGACAGGACTGATTGGATTATTCTAATCTCTTGATAATCRGCAGAAATGGATGCCATTTGATCAACTTCAATACACTTGATTAAGCTGACTGCTGTTTATCAGTTAAAGAAAGCAAAACCACGCGGTAAACGTAAYAAGAAAGTATATTTTACTTGTTTGACAGATAACATCGTAAGTCGATTAATTGTAAAATTGATTGGCACTCATTTCTTATCGTCCGTCWCGATAATCCTCGATTATTTACTCAAATCGTTCTCAAAACATACCTATGCTCATGGGAGAAYACAAGATTTTATCATTTATTTAACAGTAATCACCAAAAGAGAGAGCAAAACACACAGACGCAATAATTCTAGAAGTAGCTTTCAATAAGCTTATCAGCTGTTTCAACGATTCTTCACAAACGTATTGATCATGCTTCAAATTTTGGCGGATTAAAGATTCTTAGAGTTTCAAGAGAGGCTCTTGAAATCTTTTATTTTTCCTTTGTTAATCGGAGATATTTTCCAATCATTAAATTGATCGAGTACTATCTGTATGTTTATCGTGTTTTGCGGATAATAAAGGCTTTTACCWTTTAATTAGAGTAGTTTTAGTGCAATCAATCACAGATGATCTCACATAAAAAAATACGTTTAAGTTCACATCACAAGAAGATTTATGGCATAGCCAATTGTCGATCGAAAAAAGGCAACGCCTTTTTTGTAGAAAATGTTTTTTGCGAACCGATCAATTATTCAATAACGCCGACTGGAAATTCTTATTAAGTTCAACTTGGTGTTTTTTTGTGCTTTACAAGTAGAATTGATTTTTAATTAATGTGTAAGCGCTGAAATATTCTAGGCAAAAGTACTGCGGGAATCAATTCACACATTATTATAAATAACACTTATGAAGATATCATGTCAAACATTCCAGGAAGGGAAGCGGATTTTGCAGTAAAACCAAAAAGCAAATTGTAGAAAAGTGGCAGTTGAAAGACAGCAATCTGGAAAACTAAATATCTTGAGCTATATCACGTTAAATTGTTCCTGCAGGAAACGTGATTAACTTCAATATTTAAAATAAATTGCTTTTTATCCATATATACACCAAATAAATCGTGCTAAATGACACATGGCTTTAATAGCAAGGTTTTGAGCCGATTGGGCGCGGGTCGCAAACTTTAATCAAAAGCTAACTTTTCAGGCTACAATAGCATCAATTCTGCTTATTACTAGTAATCCTGTTCTTACTATAACAATCAGAAACAAATTAGCCAAACGAAGCAGGGTTTTAGCAGCAAAGCTGGTTGGCTGTCCTCTGCCAATGTCAAGAGGTAGTAGTGTCAAGAATTTTGAGCATCTGAAAGGCTAACAATCTGTGCCATGACTAAATATCGATAACGTCGAGACAAGTCGTCGACCAAAAAAGCCCTAAGCCACTTGATCCTAAATAATGAACAGTTTTCAAAGACACATTTTATACATTTACTGAAAAGCAAAGACGACACAYAGCATAGTTATTAATATGATTTAACAAAGAGCAAATGTCTTAAACTCGTTTCAAACGTCATATCCTACACGTGAAAAATTCAATTCAAATTAAACGTAAGGGTTTGTACAATGTATCGTAATTTACACCGGCTGAGAGACTGARAGCTAATACCACATAACACCAGATAGCGGGCTCGTGTCAAGATCCTACTTGTATTTTAGAGCATCATTGAACAGTCTTCAAATAGCTGTAGTGCCATACATTATCGATAACATACCTCATAAAGGAGACGGAGAAGAGCTTGTTTGGCTTCACTTTTTCTGGACCGAGTGATTGCACTAGACTCGTGCTCCGAGAACCACAAGATATACACTTTGAAGAAGGGCGTTTCACATAGGGATAGAAAAGGTCCTAAGTAAGTTCTAAGCGTAGTTTTAGCTCATAAATAACACTCAACGGTGCGCGAGCCTACACTCACTGCACACGGCAATACAGTCTATACATAGTAGGCAATTATAGGCGACAGTGTACTTTTTGATCGATATTTTGTAAAAAAAGTATAAGAAATTACCCATTATGTAAAGTAATTGTCCGTGTTTTGTAGAGTCCACAAAAAGTATTACTAATTATAACTGGCCAACGGTTAAACATGTACCACTGATGATTATCATAGCCACAATAAGGACTACTTACTGTGCAAGGGTTACTGTTTAAAGAATAACCGCTGGCAAATCCTATTACTCAGCCACTGAGCCCAAAAGTGTAACCATTGAACGGCACTATGCATGTCAATGGTGTCTAAMCTCTTTGAATCCAAATGGCCGGGCTTCATTACAGATAGTTTCCAACTCAAATAGACTTCTGAACCTTTCACGTCACCACTTGATTTCCAATGCATTGTGGGATCAGTTTCTAGAGAGAAAATATCCGCCATGTTTTTCCCAAGCATTTCCTACAATGCATTGCTTATACAATACATGACGTAAAAACTTCAGAGGTCTATTAACGAATAATTTTCCTTATATTGACATTGAAACGTTAAACGCTGATTTAACAAGATCATATCATAGGAATTATGAGTCATTCTTTTACAAAGCGCGGGGCGCTAAGATGCGAAAGGGTCAGTGAGCGAAAAATTGCCATGTGAGTCCGGAAACCTTTGGGTGATTTTCTTACAACCGAAAATTCGTCATCTGATTTTGAACCAATCAGAAAGCACTTTTTAACAAGAGATCATTTATAAAACGAAAACAAACGATCGTTAAAGCCACGGCTACACGAGCAGATTTTCTCTTGCGCAGTCGACGCGATTTTCGGGTGCAATGAAAGCTGAACATCGAATTTGAGCTGTTTTTGTACTTATACCTCTTTATAAAGATTCAAATAAGTATTTGTGAGTTGTTTTTTTTTAATCGATACAGCATTGTCGCTCGTGTAGCCACATCGTACGCTGGTGATTTTAGAGAGAAAATCGCGTCGCCTGSGCAAGCGAAAAATCGCTCGTGTAGCTCGTATAGTCTCGTATGGCAGTGAGCATTTAATGAAAAATATGATATGTGGTCTAAATGTATATGATGATGGTTTTTGTGTGTATGTGGATTCAACCTRCGTTCGAATATCAGACTCGTACCTAGTCGCTTCTCTCGTATTAAAAAGAGAAAGGCCTGGGTACGAGTCTGTTCGATAGAAGAGGGAACCGCAAATTATCATCAACATTTTCATTTTGATTATTTACTGCTTTTAATATCAATCAGTCAAGATTGTTATCGTATAAGCTAACTAAAAGCGATTTATTTTCTTTTTTCTTAATCATCTCAAAGACCGCTTTGTTTTTAAGCTATATGAATGGAGTTTGCTTTTGAGTGTAGGTCGGAACGATTGATAGAGCCGGCTAGTCAACGGATGACAAGACGCGGACATTTAATATAATTTGTGCCATCGGAATTTCATCCCCCGCCGTTGTCTCAATTAATTCCATTTCAATTTCAGCCACTTCACGAGTGCAGTTATTAACATTTTGCTCTAGTTGAAGAAAATTCAAATTAAATTTGACTTGTCAAAATTTTTCCCAGATACAAATTTCGGAAATTATGATGAAAACATTTTTCAAAATACTGGGACCAGATAAAATTGCAATGGATAACGGTCACATAAGCACAATATAAAAACGATTGATTGATATAAGAAAATTATTGCAATTATTAATATTTTGCTCTTGAAGAAAATTCAAATTAAATTTGACTTTTCAAACATTTTCCCAGATACAATTTTGAAAAATATGATATTGTGTGGTATTCTGATTAAAAAGGAAAACATTTTTCAAAATACTTGGACCAGATAAAAATGCAATGGTTAACGTTCACATTAGCTCAATATAAAAGATAAATTGATTGATATAAGAAAAACAAGCAAAGCTTGTTAAAAAAACTTAAACGCGCTTTGTTTTAACTTTAGCTTTAGGCTTAAGATACCACGAACAAATCAAGTCGAGTAGCGATGTTGATAAACTCAGTCGGTGATGAAACTTTAAGAAAACYGAAGGTAATTATTCCGATAACATGACGATAAAACCACCACATACGGCGAATAAAAAGCGCCCATGGGGATTTCTTTTTTGTTTTGTTTTGTTATTTCTGTCATTTAAAACATTTAATACACAACATATCTATAGAACGGAGGAGCATTAACAGCTTGCGGTGAATTATACACAGCCCACAACTTTGATCTCGCTTGATGTAAGCAGCTTAAAAAGAAAGTTTATATTACGCTAATCCTCCTAAACAATTTAACTGAAAAATGTCAAAGATTGTTTTACTACTTTATAACGACTTAAAATGACAACGCTTTGGTAAGTATAATAAAACAGAAAAGTAAGTAACGTTTATTCAGCTGYGCGCRAGCGTGACTTAAAAAAAAGAGCGTTATTTCTTTTGTGAATTTGAATATTGTCTTTAATCGGAGTTCGGCACTCAATTCAACCGGATCTTTGCGGGAACAATTGTCAATTCTGGTCGCTAATAAGTGCAGTGTCTACTTACTTATAAAAATAGGATTTTGATCCTCTCTAGTTTTTGATAAAGGGCTGCAGCACATTGAAGAACGTTTTCACTCGAATAAGCTTCACAGATCACAGATTTAATAGATATTAGGAGAAGAATATCATGCACTAATGATAAAAGAGGGCGGCGTCTTAATACCACACAGAAAAGCGTTACAAATTGCCTTAAACCGCAGCCGAATACATCCAAAATATCTTGCTATGCACTCGCTCCACCGCAAAATAGTAATAAAGCAGMTATGTTGAATTGATTATTAAGTCAGAGCTTTGATTTTGAAATATACGAATTCTTTTTTCCAACAATTTCAGTAAAATACTGTGAAGTTAATATTTATTTATTAATCCTATTTCATCTGCGATTCTTCTTTTTCCAATGATTACATAGCATCATTACAATCAATAAATACCGTATACAATACACTCTTTCGATGTTGTGATTTTGAAATGCAAATTATTATATATCAATGATTCTGCACTAAAAATAGTCTTATAACACAAACCTTTACGCCCCCCTCCCCTAMACAAAATGATCATGAACACTTTCGCTTTAGTTTAGTTCGTTTGAAAGCGTGGCTCTAAGACACATGGCGCTTTCCATTTGTCAGAACTGGCTGGCCAGACCCAGAGAAAATGTCATTATATATCATTCCTATTTAGTCGGGAAATTCAAATTTTCAAATTCTATCCATTATTCTATAGAAAGCCACGAAATGTCTGAAAAATGTTGACAAAAAGCATAATATTCCTCTAAATAGAGCGGACTGGCCGGCCAGTTCTACCTAAATGGAAAGCACCCACAGTGAAAATCGATAAACAGGCAGATACTCGAAGAAAGGTCTTTATCTCCAGGCACCCTTGCCGGGTCATTCAATTGCCATATAGTGGACAAAAGGCGGCTTACTTGAACGGGTCGACGGAATACACTAAAAGCATTTAGAATCTGTTATGATTTATCTGAAAACTTCGAATTATTCAATGTGTTTTCGATTAKAAACTATTATCAATGAAATACAGTTTTTTGGTCTCTGCAGCTAGACTGGAGCGAGTCAAAATGGGGGGGCTGATTGGAATCTCCGACGGGAAAAATCCKTTCGAATCAATTCACATCTGTAAACTTTAATCGTGAGTCCAAAGCATTGCGCTTGMTGCTTAAAATAAGCGTTATATATATGCCTTCAGGGGAATCATATKAGTTGATTGGTGGAGTTCTAGTCGATTATTGTAGACTATTTAAATAAAAAATTAAAACTAGTCTAGCTAGGTGAAAAAGCCTGAAGCTTGAACTCAACTTTAATTATTRTAAAACTCCTGAATTATTTCAACGTTGCATCAAGCGCGTCTTTGAGTGTTGATTTATGATTTTCTATAGAACCTCTTGACACAGCTACATCTGCCGGCCAAGATTTTATACCATTAAACAAAGTTTAATAATACTTAAACATCATTTAAATTAATCTTAAAAACTGTGTACTTTTTGCCCACGACCAAAATTGTCGACCAGAAATATCTAATTCTCTCTTTGTCGGATGGCAGATAAAATCACAGTTTATAAAACATGTAAATACTTTTTCGAATAAGTTGTCGGCTCTTTAATCTTTAGCTTTTAACGAGCGCTTTTCTTTGCTTATTTGCAGATAATAAAATCGGTTTTGGACGTCTTTATGTAAACCCGCAAAGGATGATAGGAAGAGAAAGTGTCTTGTCATCATTCCGGATTAGACATCCATCAYTAGAGTGACATTCAACGTGTTCCGGAAGAAAAGTGTCGTTCAAAATCATCCAACTTCATTAAGTGTAGTAACCACCGAGAATAAGCCATCACTGAGTCAGTTTTCACTGGGCTATCGGACAGAATACAACGTTCACTGAAATCTTTGAATGGGGAGAAGGTTTCATTCATTTGAAAGAGCGCTTGGCTTGATGCAATAGTGATACGTACGACATGTCTCCAAGTCCTTACAACACAAGTAACAACACTGTAAATCAGTTGCCTCCTCTGCAAGAATCCAGTGCAACTGATACAATTGTGTTTCTGCTGTTTTGCCTTTCTTTATCAATTGTTATCATCGCGGGAAACGGTCTGATTGTATTGGCGTATCGAACTAATACCCGGCTTAGAAATAAAGCTAATACATTCCTCGTTAGCTTGGCTGTGTCAGACATTCTCGTTGGCATTGTTTCACTTCCATGTTGGGTCGTAGTTCAGCTACTTGGAGTTTCAGGAGTATTTTATATCATTTTTATCGGGTTTGATATTTTTAGCGGTCTGACTTCCGTTTTACACCTCACCGCCATAAGCATTGAACGATTTATAGCAATTTCCAAGCCTTTTCTTTATCCAACGCTGTCAAGCATTTAYTACAAATGTACATTATCAATAGCTTGGGCTTCAGCAGCACTTCTAGCGGGTCTGTACATTGTACTACAACTCTACGGCATGCAAAAAAACTACGTACCAGCGGTGTTACTCATTGGTTTTCTCGGACCACTTTTTATCATATGTTCAATGTATTGCAGAATCTTCATWATCGCAAAGTCGTTGATTCAAAAAGAACCAACGGTGAAGGAGGCAGAGGAGTTATCGCAAGCAGAAAAACCACGTAAGAAAAACGCGGTGAAGAAAGAACACAAAGTAGCGGTGACAGTACTTATTATAACTGGTCTGTTCTTCGCTGCCTGGCTGCCRCAYTATGTGCTGCTTACGTTAGGAGCTACTTGCTGGCCAGGGTGTTTTCCGAGCTCTGGAAAAGACGTAGCAAGAATCGTAGCCTTCAGCAAATGGATGCACTATGGCAACAGCGCCGTCAACGTTTTTGTCTATTCGTTTCGTGACTTAGAAATGCGTAGAACATTTGCTCGSCTTCTGTATAATCGACTTACAAGAATATGCATTAGGCTTAATACTGACGTTGATGACTACGGTTTTTCAACTGTTTGAACAGCGATTTGTGAGAGGGGAAAAAACCCTGATATTTGCTTTAAACTGTAAACAATGAAGTCTTTTGTATACAGAAGTGATGTCACTCCATCGTAAAACAGAGGACATAATAAAATTTGCTGTTTTTTCTTTTTCAAAACATACTCCTGTACTTCCTCCCGCTCCATAAATAAACATAAAGACGAAAAAGACTTAGCTGGCTTATACTTAAAAACATTGATCGCGTTTTATTTTTCTTGCTTTTTTTCTTATAATGTGCATATCTAGTAGATTATGACTAGTTTTGTTCAAAAAGTCAAAATTTGAATCAATAAAAGTAATTTAACGCTGATGGTATCTGTGTTCATTGCGATCTGTCATAGATTTTCATTTTGCAGCGTTTTCAACAAGGTAGCTATTAGTCAAGACTTGATGTATATCACGGTGCCAGACGGCGCTCAGTGATATTCGAMCGTTTTGATTTTTTTCATTTTGTTACGATATTCGCCCGGTATAAAATTCTAAGCACTATCTACAAGACATAATCACTCATCGCAAGACAAATAGAAAAAAAAAATAGTTCCTAAGCCATCCTTCGTGCATACTTTCCAAGAATATGACAACATAAATAGATCTCTACCGCTTCCTTGTCATTGCGAAATAATGTTTCACTTGCCGACAGTTTATCACTTAGTATTAAATATATTATAGCTATAAAATGCTTTGTTATCGAAAACGAAGTTGAGCGTCAAGGCAACCAATATTTCAATTACTTCTGATGGCAGCTTGTTTTTATGGACCATAGACGCGCTAAAAAACTAAAAACATTTGTTTTATGCACAGTAGCTATTCATTTCGCTATCGCAAGATTTCAGATCACATATAGGCCCTTATTCTTACCATGTTTAGAACGTCGTCAGCTTATAAGATATCAAATAATTATGGTTTGATTGAGGTCACCAGACTGTCACAACGTGCTATCAATGGGAACTCATCGCAAAAATATTAAAGCGTGAGTAGGTGAAAATTCGTCATTTTTTCCCTCTTTTTTTTTTCTTGTTTACTTTATAAGGCCATCAAAATCTCGACTTTTTAGTAGTAATTYCTCCATTAACCCAGCTTAATGATAAAACYGAGGAAAAGACCTAGACAGTAACCATTTAAGATGTTATTAATGCAAATTTTCATCCGGTTTTAGTTAGTATGATGGATAGGAGGGGGACTAACCGGGATTGAGAGAGAAGATTTAAAACAGTAGTGAAACGTATCCAGGAGATTATAGATCAAAAGAAGGAAGGAAGAAGCACAGAGACCGAAGAAAGTGAAAATTGAATTATGAACGCAAGAACTAAATTACTAAGAAATGATTATCAGAGAATTAAAAAATGGGGGGGGAGTTACGATGACAAGGAGGCAGACATACAGTCTGCATGCTTGAAAAATTCAGTTTAGCTGGATTCAGTTTTGATTAATTGATGTCACCAGAAAAAGCAAAAACGGCTGAGAATGTGATAAGAAGATGATCATGATATTGTGCAGGGATAACATCTAGAGCAAAATTAATGCACCTCAAATTACAAGAGTATATTGCACTGATAAGTTAACTGCCGGTTTGAAGCATTTACGATTCCTGATAATTTCAACCAGTGAGTTTCAAACCTTCTTAAAGAAAACTGAAATATCATGCATTTGATGCAACCGGTTTAACAAAAATTATTGAATAGTTAGAAATATCTATGCAGATGTAGTCCTTCCTATAATACTACTTTGATAATTGCAATTCTTTTCGCTAATCTTTGATTCAATTACTATCTGAATAAGATATCGGCAAAAGTAATTTGAAAGTGGGCTTTTATGTAACTTTTCAAAATTTTTGCAACAGCTTGATATATCACATGACAAATGTCATGAATTTTACAGTTTTTCATTGCATGAACGTTAAGAAAAGATTTTCACTACGTACAGCATTTTCAGTCCATCACGTCGCAATGATGATAATAATAATGATAATAGCCTTAAAAGATGATATGCAATTTATGATATCCCTGTTTATTTTCATTTTTTATTTTTGTARACGTAACCGACGTTTTGTCGGAAGAATGCATCTACACAAGTCAAACGTACCGAATCGATATTAGAAAGAAACATGGTCAATTTGGTTAGTAGTGACTTTAAGTTTATATAATTAACGGTCGCCTTCTGTTATATGCGTTCCCTCCCTATTTTAAAGTTTAYATGCCGGAATGATTTGAAAGGCGGATTGTAGTAAGATCTAAAGGCCCGCTTACACTTGCGATTTTTTCAGAACGATTCACGCGGCGATCTTCGCGCGACCATCGCCTTATTTTCGAATATGTTTGAAAATTGGCTGCAACTTCGCGGCGATTTTCCATCGTCGCAACAATCGCAGGGCTGTTTACACGTACGATTTGAGTTGCGCGATAGCAAAGTGACGATTATCGCGCTGAAAAAATCGCAAGTGTAAACGCGCCCTAAACTGAAACGCCTTTGACTAAGAGGACCGGCCATTGTGTCGATTTTTAACTCTCTGACAGCAAAAAACCGTCCGAAATCTTACGTATTATGCATTATTTTGCTGAAGACTACTGAATATTCATCAATCTTGGAATAGCATTGTAACTCAGTCAGTATTTAACTACTTTTGAGCTTTTCTAAAAGAGTCCGCCTTCTTAGAGAAGGAAAATTGAACATTGTATTGGCTTTAGTCGGGGTTCCCCTGTAGGCCGGTATCCATAATCATATTTTGACGTGTGCATAACGCATATATATCTAAAATGCTTTTAATTTAGTAGGCGGTAGACATTTTGTAGCACCTGTATATTCCACGCCATTAATTTCTTTGAGCAATTCTTTAATGGCGGAAACATCGCAAATTAAAGACGTTCTTAGTAATTCAGTCTATGGAGATGTCAAGAAGGCAAATGCTCAGTAATGCCCGAACATAAATCATAGTCCATTCAAAGTCGCATGTATTTTATAAATGGACAGATACCAATTGAATAAAACTAAGTAAGACTCACAAATACTTGTGCTATCTCTAGCTTTACTGTTTATTTTATGGCTGGAATTTAACTGAAGTGCAATGCACTTTAGAAGAGGAGACGCTTTGGGAAGTAAAGAAGAGGAATACATCACTGTAGCAGTCATGAATACAAAGAATTCCAACAGCGTTGAAAAGTAAACAAASAAACTTYACCATTCATTATAAAAGCCGTAGTATGCTGTATTTAAAAGCCTGAGCTATTCTCTTCATTATTATCACTTGTAATTTTGTTTTGTTGGATTTTTTGTGTTGTTGTCGGTGTTTTTCTATCGCGTTTTTAACGCGGAGTTCGACAATGAAAAATGATCTCTCTTAGTCGAAAAGCTTAATCAAAATTAAACATTCAATTACCTGAATTTATTTCGTTTTGTATCGTGTTCAACATAATGAAATATAGATTCATATTCATTAGTTTTTATATATGTCAACGACTAGCCTGTATTGACACAAGTTGTACCTAAATCCAGCTTAATAAAGTTGAACTTTCTGAGCACAATATTCATTCTTTTTTCCAATGAAAAGATACAATCTCTAAAAAGGTTTATGAGAGCAATCACTTAATTTTTTGCACCAAGCTGGTTCTAAACAAACGTGCTTTTTTAATGATCTTATTAAAGAAGAGATGACCGGTGTAAAAAGCCGCATATTAGTTCTTCATAGACACTAGAAATAGCCCAAGACGATATACTGTGATCTGATAATATAAGAATAAAAGGCTTTTCCTAAGCCCTTGTAAAACCAGTATCCTAAAGGCCATTTACGTGCGTTTMCTGCAAAATAGCTCAAGAGACCGAATATCTATTTACTTTTGCTTGATTGCTTCTCGATTTCACATGAAAAATGTAGAAATCATTTGAGAAATCATAAATTGGAATAAGTTGAAAATTTTGAGCGTAGGTTGTTGTCTTTTGCAAGGATTTATTTATTTATTTTTTGCCTCATAGATTTACTGTATAATTTACATTGATATAAGTATTGCTTTGTAAAAGATTATTCTTTAAAACCAATGATAAATCCGAAGTGTTTCTTGTGTCCATAGATTCCCAGTTTGAGATCTGATATGTTAGATTTACACGCTTTTAAAACTAATTTCAATGATATTGATAACAGTCCGCCATCTTGGATTTTTCAGACGAGCACAGATAGCTTTGACGCTTGACGCTTTGACGCTTTTTATTTGAAGGGTACCTTCCTTCATGATTTAAGATTATTACATATATATTAATTTTTTTTTATTTTTTATTTATTTTTTTTTGTCGCGAATATACCAAAACATATCAGGGGAGGATCCTCAAATTTACTTATGGGCGAATGAGTGACAAAAAAAAACTTTGCAAATCGCCGCATTGTTATCCTGTAGCCTAGAGCATTTCTTTCATCCTTTCCTCAACTTCCAGATAAGCTACCGCAGTTCATCTGAAGATAGAAATCATGTTTACATTCAACATAGTGTACTTCATCGATCGATGGATAAAGTTTCMCAGTTTTCTGTGTGGGCATATATTTCAATATAATATATTAGATCACTTAAGCTTTTTGTGATAAAGAGATTACCACCAGGAGGTTTCAACATTTTAGATTAATTGGCCTTACGTTTGCTCTGGTGATTGTGGTTCTGTATAAAGATTATACTACATCGGATTAAGCTATAAGTGAGCGAGAACTGACAACAAGCTGTCTAGTMCGCAATATTAACTACGCGTGGAGATTTTAAAAGTCTTTGGCATTGTCAAAAAGCTATCATGGAATATAAATCACAAAGGTGAAGGTTTTCAGGTGATTTTTGATAGAGCACAATGTATATGGATCATTGCTTATCTAGTTTATGTTGTATGACTGATCACGTTATCGTACTATATCTGAAAGACAAAGTCATTGGGGTTTGCGGTGGGATTGAGCCGATTATCGTTTGCGCTATTGCGGTAAATTGATGAGAATCTAGAAGTGATGCGGGATTTTTATTCCACGCGATATGCGACCTTACGCAGTATGTTGGGAAAACCTTCGTGGATTGCGGTAATAATTGGGTGCGAGACGAGGAGATTCGTTCCAAATCTTCGTATTAAAAACATTTTTGTAGAACTGAACATTSAGGTAAAGATCGTCCCGAAAAATGCGCAAAAGACATAATAAAATTAGATGCGATGCTTGGCGTATTGATAATTTCATCTCAGAGAACTTAACGTTTCAACTGATTCTCAAACTCGCCCCAATTTTCCCTCGGCCTCCAACAAGGAACGCCTTCTCAAAGGCTACGTGAGGCGCGGTCATCACGAAAAACTGATTTCCAATTAGAAAATGTCACTGAATAGCCACCACACATTGCTAACAAACKAGAAGAAATAACGATTTTAATGGCAAGCTCGTTACCGGCAGGTGACGAAGGACCTAGCGTAATGACAATTTTTGATGAGAAGGCCCTACACGTATATGTAATAAAAATAAATTACTGATGATGATTTACGTGATGGGGGAAATAAATCCTACGCAAATTGAAAGACATTGTTTAGCTTCTCTTTTAGTTTAAACTTTTCTATTTGACTTTWATGTCAAGACTATTATTGGATAGGATGAACTTGTCCATCTAATTTTATATTAAAAAGCACAACGATTTTCAGCCGCATTTTTTGTTTAAAAACAATTATATTTGGTTGCACTTTTGTTCGTGTTATTTGTTTTTCGTACAACCATTTCAAGATAGAGTCCTCACAGGAAAGAAATACCATTTTTGAGATGGCTTATCGTTGCCGAGGTAACATTAATCGTGAAGGAAGTGATTAAAACAGATTAGTTATCAAATGATTTAAACTTAACACTGTTGTATTTATTAATGCGTAATCTTTCGTCACGGAATATCTGAAAGCAGCTCATATCAAGGCTTATGTTTTGTTGTTTTTTTTATGTTGTTTTTTAAATATTACTTATGCTAATAAGACTCAAGCTTCGATATTAGACTTGAGACCCTATGTTGTACTAATATACTTTCTCTACTTTCATTTTTTTGTTGTCATTGCTGTTATTGTTGCTACCGCTACTGCTATTATTATTGCTGTTATTGTTGTCGCTGTTGTTATTGCTGTTGTTGCTGTTCTTATTGCTGCTGCTGCGGTTGTTGTTGTTGCTATTGCTGTTGTTGTTATTGTTGCTGTTGCTGCTGTTGTTGTTGTTGCTATTGCAGTTGTTGTTGTTGTTGCTGTTGCTGCGGTTGTTGTTGTTGCTACTGCTGTTGTTGCTGTTGCTGCTGTTGTTGTTGCTGGTATTGCTGTTGCTGTTGTTGTTGCTGTTGCTATTGCCGTTGTTGTTGTTGTTGTTGTTGCTGCTGGTATTGCTGCTGTTGTTGTTGCTGGTATTGCTGTTGCTGTTGTTGTTGTTGTTGCTATTGCTGTTGTTGCTGTTGCTGCTGTTGTTGTTGCTGGTATTGCTGTTGCTGTTGTTGTTGCTGTTGCTATTGCCGTTGTTGTTGTTGTTGTTGTTGCTGCTGGTATTGCTGCTGTTGTTGTTGCTGGTATTGCTGTTGCTGTTGTTGTTGTTGTTGCTATTGCAGTTGTTGTTGTTGTTGTTGCTGCTGGTATTGCTGTTGCTGTTGCTGTTGTTGTTGTCGTTGTTGCTGGTATTGCTGTTGCTGTTGTTGCTATTGCAGTTGTTGTTGTTGTTGTTGCTGCTGGTATTGCTGTTGCTGTTGCTGTTGTTGTTGTCGTTGTTGCTGGTATTGCTGTTGCTGTTGTTGCTATTGCAGTTGTTGTTGTTGTTGTTGCTGCTGGTATTGCTGTTGTTGCTGTTGTTGTTGTTGCTGCTGCTACTACTGTTGTTTTAATTGCTATTTTTATTGTTGTTGTTGTCCTATCTTAGAAAGAAAGTGCAAACATTAATATTTTGAAATAATACCACAATTGTTCAAACTGGCAAGCTTTATACAACCAGTAAAAAAGTGACAAAGCCCTAGATCATCAAAGCTAAGATCAAAAGGCAGCAATAAGAAAACAAACATTGCGATTATAACCATGTTTAGATTGCACCTGAACTAAATGACCTTCTCTACGAGTAATTCCATAATATATGTTTAGCTAAATACGATTCGATTTTAAAGTACTTATAAACCCTTCGTTCCTTTTTGCGATGCACCAACGTTTTTTCAATAAGGTATAGAAATAGCTATTAAGTAGTCTAATTCAAGAAACTAGGCATACTAAAACAACAACCACAACAACAACAACATCATAGGCATTAACAACAATAACAACAGTAACATCACCAGCCGTCTCGCGTCAGTTATAATGATCGACGACAGAGAGGGAACTGTTCCAACTTATGGAATCATTATACTCGTCAACGTGAGAAATAGATATCAGTTAAATCATTTGATTAAAAGTCCGCTAATTTTACTACTTCATGTTTTGTTGGACTATTACTTTTTCCGTCTTGGGCTAAATGTACTCACTCTAAACTATATTAAAAGAGGAACTATTAGACTGTTTTCACGGAAACAGACTTGGCTCTAATAAGGCACACGTGACTTTTCATTTTGAATGAGAAAATGTCGATTTTAAAATGTSWTATTTACAATTCAATAACTTTCCAAACTGCAACTACTGCRACTATTCCTTGGAAGCACCACGCCGAGTGTTCATGTTAATTCGCACTTGTCTCATGCGTCTTGTTCGTCTATAAGACTCCATTATGTTATCAGCGCAAAGCTCTGTCGTTAAACCTTTGAAAAGTCGAATAAAAGTCCTCTTCATTTCCATATTAAGAAATGCATAAATAAAAGTGTTCATTGCGCTATTGCCGTAATGCATAAACTTCACAAAAGCCGTCAGCCTGAAATCAAAYCCCGGTACTGGATGAAGACAGCTCCGACAGAATGTTGCAACAACAGAGACGGTAAAGAACGGAATCCAACTTATGGAGAATAGACCCGTCACCAGTGCCCCTGTCCGCGCTAGTTGATGTTCTTTGCGCAGATGTCTTTTAAGGTCTTCCTTGCTCTGTCGTCGTTCAAGAGGAGCAATAAGCTTGTGACTGACGCGGAAGATTTTAATGTACATTGACGATATTACTATAAGAGGGATAATAAACCCAAATGCAAAGAGTAAGATCGTRTAATAGGCTTTAAACCCATGCTGGATTGGGTACAGGCAAGAGATAAGCGCTGCAAATATCCACAGGCATCCAATCGTGTTACGATACGAACTACTAGAAACAAGACGATGCTTTTCAGGTTTTGAGACGGCTAGGTATCTGTCAACACTGACGCTGACTAAATGAAGAATAGAKGCCATTGCACTGAAGATATCGAAMACRATGTAGAATTGTAAAACGGCTTTTGTCATATTAGTTGCCGATACGATATTCATGTAAATCCATAATGGCATCGAAACAGCACCAACAAGAAAGTCCGACACAGCGAGRCTGGTRAATAGRCTGTAAGTTCCTCGYCTTAGTCGTGGGTTTATCCTTGCAGCCACTATTACCAATAAGTTATTRAATATCACAACAGCGCAAAGTACGATGGCGAAAATCAGAAACATTGTCAGTTCAAATGGTCCCAAACCGGGTACTCTTGGCAGTGTTGTTTGGTTGGTATTATTGCTAACCATCGTGTTTTCTTAAGCTTTCTGACAACTGCAGAGAGAACAAGAAGATGAAACAATTAGATCGATACTGCTGTTGATGTTTGAAAGATAAAAGGATAGCTTTTCATTGTATCTACGCCTCGATCGATAGGATCATTAGAATTGTCAAGTATTGCTTCCAATAAACGCTTTTCAATGTTGCTATTAATTGCTGACAAAATCATGAACCGACATTCGTTGATCAAAAAGTTTGTAATGTTAATATAATGAATAAAGATGACCACGGCATGGTTGTGTTTTTGTCATTGGTCTTGCAGAAAATGGGAAATTTTGACGTTAAAAGCTCTTAAGCAAAAACGCCGTATCCCATATACGCCAAAATCATCTCAAAACACTTCAGTGTTTCTTTTTAATTTAAAATTTAAAATTTAAAAATTGTCTGTTTTCAGGAGGCGAGGCATGCGTAATATGCGTCTCTCTGTACACAGTATATCAAAGCTTCTGCATCATGAATAGATATTATCAATTGGGTTCAAGTTCTCACATTGAAAAATGTTTTAATATAATACTTAGTTTAAATGACAGCTCTGAAGAATCTATAGCAAATAGTGTTGTTTTAAAACCCTTGAAATTTAAAATGGTCTCGTCTGCGCATATTGAGAATTATGGCGGAGGACAGCACAAGACAATCTTACAGCSAGTGTTTTCCCTGTGTTGATATATCAAAGATCACAAATAGCCGTTGTATAATTATTTCATAAAAAAAWTTGGCTTTTGAACTATGAAGCGGAAGATCGGAAAGCCCTTTCGCGAACTCTGATTGTCATAAACATGAACCTGAAGCCAATCAAAACTAGCGCTGTATTTCAAATATTTTATAAATGAATATAAAGCCATATAAAGACTTTTTGACAAGAAAGTCAAAAGGAATAAAAATAAAATCYTCCTTTAAAATATACAGGACGAACTGGTGTTATCATCACGCCCTGCATCACGTGATTCAGAATTTTAAGCCCTTCAAAAACGGCATTAAAAAATACAAAAAAAACAACTAATACTACAATAATGGTGGATTGCATTGCATTCTAKTCACTTACTCGGGTTTAGCAGAGTGTTCAGTATCCGTTGAGTTGAAAACCTTCTAAACGGACGGCTTAGAACCAAATCTACAAGATTTAACTGMAAATCCGTTGACAATCATCAGAACACGTGCTTTATCGATCAGATTACTTTAGTCCAGCCAAGACACTGAATGTAAAATCTCTTAAATGCGTTCTGCTTTAATCATATCTGCTTCTAGTTTTGGTTTTTGGCAATCTATGTTGAAAATCGTTTTCACAATGGGCAGGAAATGATTATTTACTTGTGACGTAATAGGATAGGATGTCTCTTCCAAAATGACGTCACGGAGACGATGCGCACATCATGAAAACGCTCTTCAAGAGAATCATTTTTGCAATGGTTTTTACCATCCTCTAAACCGTGGGTATACAATGTATATATGCTATAAAATGAATTAAAAAAGAATATTTCTTTGTCAAAAAATGGTGTTTTTAAAGTTTAATTACGACAAACTTGTATTAAATTCAGGCGAAATGTAAAGCCTTGATCTTGATAGCAAAATCGTCTAGCAAAAGAAACCGCAATTTCTTGAATAGAAATTTAAGAAGCTCGCGGGTTCCRATTTAATTTAGAATGCATTTGGTCCTAAGGTAGTGGCTTAGATGAGATCTATTTGTAAAACATTTTAATTATTTTTGTTATTATTTTATTCATAGTTTATCAACAGACGCCTGCAGACCAGGATTTTTTTTCTGTTTTCGGAGCGCTTTTTGAAAGGCAACAACTGACTTAAGTAACTAGGGTATTTTCTATAAAATCTGATCATTGTAAATGCCGTTTTGCACTGTGAGAACAAGCATAGAAAAAATTCTTTGTGAATAGCTAAAGGCGATTAAAACTAAGACTGAATACAAGTGATGTAAGTTTTTTTTCTAACCAGATCGAGCCCAAACCATGCACTCAGACACCACAAAAGCATCAACCGCAAATAAAKCTCATTTTTTTTCTTATCCAGAGACAACTTCCCTGCACTCAAACACCACAAAAAAGCGTTTACCTGGTTTAAACGAAAACTTATTCAAATGTTTTCACAGAGTGACATTTTCCAAGGTAAATAAATGTAATGAATTAGTTCAACAACAAGTACTCAATCTCATTTCACTTCCTTATTAACTTCATGATTTCAYTGCCGCCCTTCTGATGTCTTTTCGGGCGGAACGTCCTCGGGAAATCACGTTCAATCTGCTAGTAATTTGTAGTACTAGAGTAAAATTAAGTAATAAATGAAATAATAGCTCTTTTTTTACCTTTGAGGTATAGTTAAGCGAAAGTCTTGTAATTTGCGCGGCGTAATGCGAAGTCGGATCCTTCTGGTTTAGTAAAATCTCATCACTCCGTTAGTCGGGCGTTTGAGGAGAAGAAGTAGAAACATTTATAAATAAATGTAATCAGTAACTGTTGATTGTCTCAGTAAGTGAGACCAGCCGTGCTTATRCCTCACGTATGAAGCTCTTGAAACCACTCCTTTACTAGTAAACTCCTCAACTATGATCGACAAACTGTTGTTTTTATCAGCTTACTTCGCCCACGATGTGATAATACGTGATCTAAGTAAAACTAACATGATTCMAAKATGTACACAGCATGCATTAGAGTACCTTACGAASGACGGAACAAATTGKCTGCATGGACCCAAGAAWCCATTTCCTTCTAGTTCACAATTGTACAAAAAGCCAAGCTGCTAAGTCACATGCATATTTGCAAAGGTGATCAAGGAAATATCAAGGAAATATCGATGAATCTTTGGCCTATCAGTTATAGAAATTACCAGCTGACAATTTTGTAGCCAAATTGTCGACTCTTTTGCCTCCAAAATGCATTAGCAAGGAATGCTCATCATTGTTCATCGCTTTWGAATGTAATTGTACAAAGAAAAGTCAATAAATGTGAACTGTTGAGTCAATAAGGAAGACGTGCTTAGATAACACTYGTATGTCAATGCCAAGATRCCGATACAATAGTAAAGTGCAGACGCTATTAGGGGTGAAAAAGTTATGATTAAACCCGTGAAACAAAACTGTGTGATGGTGTGATAGTCAAATAGACACAAAAGAAAACACTGGATTCTAGAGCGGAATAAGTTGTATTAGTTAAATGTCTAGTTCAGGGCTGGGGTTTTTTTTTCACTTTCAATCTAACCAAAAATCACCAAAATATATAGACAAGAAAAAATAAACGAATTCGCGTTATTTAGTACAATTTACTAGCTCTTTGATTAGATTATTTAATTGAGTATTTCATGGTTTTAGTGTTTGCACTCTAAAATACTGAATAGCTTTTAATACAAAATGTCCGATAGGGTTTTCACGCCTCATTTCGGTACTCCATCAATTTATAACTCAAAAGCAAGACTTTTGATAATAACTTATGGATGATCAGATCATGAAATATTGCTCAACTAAAATTGATCGGTTAAAATTCATATGGCGTGTTGGCATTTAATTTATCGGTAGCCTAGAGCTGTCAGGGATACATATTGGATGACGACAAGGATTATGATCTATCTTTTGTATCTAGAGCATTGGTTCTTGGAAACCATGGTATATAGAAGGTATAGAAAAAGTATTTTTTAAAGTATTTTAGTAATTAACATGGGCGCGCGGAGATACGGATTTTATCTTCGAGTGTTGAAAAGATCTCTCACGAGTGAGTGTAGCGAGAGATTTTCAACACGAGAAGAAAAATTTCGCATCTCTAAGCGAMCATGTAATATTCTATTTATCATATAATTGTATATGAAAGGAAATTATGTCGTAAAATACTTTTTTTCTTTCTTCCACTATAGAGAAACCTCGAATGTGTTATTTTTATTAGTGAAACAATATAGCGCATTGAAAATGAAATAAAAARGTCATGGATAGAAAAATGAAAAATGAGGAGATGAAAAAATGAACAGACGAAATAATTTGCAGATCACTGTGACGGCTAAGATCAATATGAATTGATTTATAGATACTTAAACGTCATTTCATCATTCCAGTCAACCAGCCAATACACACAGCACCTGAGCTAATATGTTACAACATGATCAGTCGTTTTAGGCGGTCCGGGTTTCATTTCCGACACCGAGATTAGGTTATGAGTTTTAAGAAATGAAATATAGCAACCGCTTGAACTGCAATATTAACATACGCAACTGAGCAGAGAACGTGACTAGCGAGTGATACGATAACTTGAAAATACCCTTGAGATTGGGTGCATAACTAATTCACATCTTTATCAAATCATCACGCTTTTATCAAATCATTTTTTCATTTCAGATGTGACAGCTAAATATCAAGAAATTAAAGCAAACAGYCTAACCGTTACATATTTCCGCAATGGGTTACCACACTCCGTTGGTAAATTGAATAGTCTTTGTGATCAATTTATACACACACAAGTAAAGAAATTGCTTTAAAGAGTAACATATACACTGATATAAAATGTAACTTTACCCTTTAAAATTAATGAAAAGACAGCCGTCTYCATAAGTGCGCTATCTGCAAAACCCCAGGATGTCCTCTTTAGGTCATTTTTATGAAAGTGTGCGAGGCTCGACGGCGCCTGCTAACGAACAGTGCACTCATCAATTTTAGTATTTTCATTCATCAAAGTACAATTTTTTGTAGCACAGCAGGCGAGAAAAGGACTGACTATCTTGAGAATAATTCAACATGACTCAACGTTTGCTTGAGTAGAAATCATAGCCACTTACAAATAATATGTATAAATTTTATCAATATGAGACTGCATTGATACATAGTGTAAATGCTAGTTAATTATTTCACTAAAGGAAGCTTTCCAAGGCCTGTGTAAAACTCCAAAAACAGACCTGTATTTGTCGGTTGACATGACGTCATAACCGCCATATTGAATAAAGCTAGCATAGAGAAATCTTCATAAAGTTCTTTCATCAATATTTAGAAATGTAAATGAAAACAAAAGAAACAAAAAAAAAAATCCGAAACAGGAAGCACGATTTGATTAATGCGGCGTGTATTTTGTCAAAATTGCACTCACCTTATGAAATGAAGCTATCAATGAAACAAGCTAACTGCCATTTTTAATCCGAGATTCACATTATTTCTTTGTGGAGTTAACCTTTTTTTCTCGATCAAGCTGAGATTAGATCGATAGTACGGTCGCGTGACCGTCTTATTCTTCTACAGCGGTACGAATCAAGAAAAGCTTGCCTGGCTGGTGAGTACCGAGTTCGTCTGATCAAGTGTTCGAAGTGTTCATATGATCCGAGCACACTTAGTCATGTACCTAATGTAAAAGTTATTGAAAGTCTCTCAGACAAAAAGGATTATCAAGCACTAGAGATAATTTGGATCAATTTGTTTTTAAGAATAACACTTCCGTACGAATACGAATGYCCATATATGGCGGTTTCAAAGTTTCTGGATKAAAACTCCAGCAAGGTTGACTCTCTTTCATTTGATTTACTCTTAAAAACGATTAAAACTATAGATAGCGACTATTAAGGTAAGTGTTACATATCTTATATTGTGGCATGTGCAACAAACAGTAAAAACATCATGTTGAAGTCAACGAACCTYGTGGGGATGCACTGCAAACTTACAGCTTCCCTGCTAGCAGAGGCTTACACGGTAAATGCTAGCAGGGAAACTTACCGCAACTCAGAAAGAATTATTTAAAAMGTTTTTTTTTTATACCTCATACACTAGTGCATATTTCAGTTTGCTAATGGACTATTCCAATTTTCTAATAATAGTATAAATAAGAAATCGATACTATAAAAAAAAATACTCAGTAGTCCGTCACTATGAGAGATTTTGGAAATGACTGTCTGAGTACTGGCTTGTCATTCGAGTACAGTTCCAGAAGTACCGGAACTTAATAATGGCGAATTTAGTGCTAAATATAGCTAGGAAATTTATATTTATGTATTTAATTTTTCTAATTGTATTAGAATGGTAGACAAAAATTCAGCTATTCAGAAGAAGAATTTTTTACGTTATCATGCATCCTTGCTGAAAACCGGAATGGTCGCCATTTTATATGATACGGCTAGTAACATTTGACGAAAGTCGTGGATATTTTTACGTAGAACTGATGATTTAAGGTTCATTACGAGAAATTGTTATACTGAGTTATTGCACGTGCATTTTACGTATCGTCTATTGCGTATCGCTTATCTTACGTATCGCCTGTGCATTATGTATCGGTTACTTGCCAGCGSTCCTTACCGTTTTTGAGCTTCTTCAGTGTTAGTATGATTGACATGTAATAAATGTAATAAATGAATACAAAGATAACATCAAAACATAATCTACGGCAAGTATTACGTATGGTTGGCATCACATATCGTCTATACTGTACGTATTACGTATCTCCTAAGGCGGTAAGTTTGACTAACTCCTACGGTACGTACTATCTATCGCCTTCGGCAAGTATGAAGTATCGACTACGGGAAGTATGACGTAACTCCTACGATAAGTATGAAGTATCTCCTACGGGAAGTATTACGTATCGCATACGGTAAGTATTACGTATCGCATACGGTAAGTATTACGTATCAGATACGGCAAGCATTACGTATCACCTATGGTATGCATTACGTATCATCTGTGGTAGGCATCACATATATCGACTACGGTACGAATTACGTATCGCCTAAGGTAAGTATTACGTTTTCACCTAAGGTAAGGTATCGACTATATGGTAAGTATGACGTAACTCCCACGATACGTTTTACGTATCGCCTGCGGTAACTATTACGTATCGCCTACGGTAAGTATTACGTATCGCTTACGGTAGTATGCCCGTATATCGTCTACTACGGTAAGTATTACGTACTGACTACGCCTCACCTATTACGTACCGACTTTCAGCAGTGCAAACCGTAACGCTGCATGTACGTACGTAGCACGAATTGACATGCAAGTAAATTTCCTTTATCAAATAACTTAATTGATAAGCACTCTGCTTAAGAAAAGTCTAGGTTGTTCTATCTTGGTATTAGTGATCATTTGAAGTGGAAGAATTGATAAAGTAGTACACAAAGCTTGAAGACGTGAAGCTTCATTAATAATGCTAAGCAGAAAATGATTTGATAATTATCAAATTATAGCCTAAGGCTATGCCAGGGGATCTTTCAGCTCTTGTTTATTAAGAAAAAGGTTCAAAATAAGTAATGTAATCACACTCGGTTTGTTGGTTTAAGAAAAATGAGGTTTTAATGKGGGAGCACTGTAAAATAAATAATTTTTGATTGAGTGTTTTTGAGTATAATATATCTATCTCAGCCAAAGCTGCTCGGTTATCCAAAGAAACGGCGTATGATGGACGATGTCAGCTTGCGAATTTCTCTATATTATTGTGCAATAAATCCMATAAGTCTTATATTGTTCTGTCAATATTCAATAAAGTTGTACAATGATTATTTAATTGGCAGGTAGAAATGAACAGCTATCTTGCTTACCTTAGTAGAAGCTCGTTCCAATGTATGCTTATAACTGCAAGATTCGCGTGCTTACAAACAAGCAAACACAAGCTGTAAAAACCTTGACTGAGGTGAGCAAATGCGRCTCAGGGACCAGTTGTCTACATGCGATGATTGCTTAGTAAATTGAAACTATCAAGTTGTTTATCGGTCCGTGAGGTTAGCTGTAAGCTGCAAAGGCATGTTTGTCACTACAAGGAAGCAATTTCAGCAACTTGTAGCACACACTTCGTTAATCCCATTAGAAGTACTACAGGAGTACAGTACTCAAAGTTACTTGCCAAGTCTACAACACTCGAACGATCGAAAAGCTAAAGCTGTTGGAAAGCTACCTCATCTTCACAACTAAAAACGGCTGCAATCACAGAGATATCTCCAACTTCACATACCTGTTACATAGACATCATTGAGACTACTCAGYCTTATCAGCAATCACCCAATCAATGTGGGATGATTTGAGTGCGATTTCATTTTGAGGTAATCGCGCATGATCAGTTTGCACATTTTCGAAAAGGTCAAAATTTTGATTATTTCAAAAGTCGTTAAGTTGCTCTCTTAAAGTAAAGAGCATTTTCGCTGAAAAACAAACTGTCTATTTATTTTCTTTATTTCTATTTTTTAATTTTTTATGTATTTATTTATCTAATTATGTTTTTGAGGACGTGTAATGTGGCAGGTGATTTCCCCTTGAAAAATATATTCTTAGCAGATGTTCGTGAATACTTTGAAATCACCACATATCCATTGACAATAGTCTGAGAGCGACCGCTAGCCATGTTTAGCGACGTCATTTTGACAAAGCACGGCGCTGGTGGACTTAGTCCTCATACTCCATTATCTTCTGCTGGGAGACTTAGTCCTCATACTCCATTATCTTCTGCTGGGAGACTTAGT